GGCTGCTAGAGCTCAGGGCTGTCCAGTTTGGATTTGAGTATCTCCAAGGATGGGGACCCAGCAGCCTCTCTGGGAAAACCTGTGACACTGTCTGATCACCCTCACAATGGCAAAAAAAAAAAAAAGGAGGCTTGTGTGTTTAAAAAGAATTTTCTGTATTTTAACTTGTGCCCATTGCCACTTGTCTTGCTGTTGGGCACCCAGCTACGCTGAATATTGTGTACAGTTCCAGGCACCACAATATAACATAGATATTAACTTATTGGAGAACGTCCAAAGGAGGGCAACAAAGATGGTGAAGGGCCTTGAGGAGAAGATATATGAGGAGCAGCTGAGGTCACTTGGTCTGTTCAGCCTGGAAAAGAGGAGACTGAGGGGAGACCTCATTGCTGTATACAGCTTCTTCACGAAAGAAGTGGAGGGGCAGGCACTGATCTCTCTGACAACCAGTGATAGGACCCAAGTGAATGGTTAACAGTTGCATCAGGGGAGGTTTAGGCTGGATATTAGAAAATGATTCTTCACTCAGAGAGGGGTTGGGCACTGGAACAGGTTCCCTAGGGCACTGGTCACAGCACCAATCCTGACAGACTTTAAGAGGCATTTAGACAACGCACTTGAGCAAATGGTGTGGTTCTTGGGGATGTCTTGTGCAGTGCCAGCAGCTGGGCTAGATGATCTTCAAGCGTCCATTCCAACTCTGATTTTAATATGATTCTGTAAAATATGCACATTGATAAAAATAAGAGTCCCAGGAGCAGAACACTGTAATTTACCAAGAAAATGCTTAAGGAAATTCAGTTACAGATATCTGATACCTGGCAAGTTTGAGGTAGAAGTCATGCAAATACTTTTAAAAGTAGGGATAGGTAAGCCACTGGAACAACTTTTACATACATAATGGAGACTCAGGTCTTGCAAGTCCTAAAACGAATATTACATTTCTTCATAGGAAGGTAGTTTCTGATTTACACAGACCATAAAATCTAAGCATAGGACTCCTGCTGTCAAGTTATATTGGAATTCAGAATAGCTGATCATAATGGTTTAGTCAGTTTGTTAAAATGAATTTGACTCAGCAATGAAAAAGCAAGAGGGTTTCCCCTTGCAACTTCCAGACCTATACAACTTCCTGTAGGAAGGTTTGTTTCTGAAATAACAAGGAGATCATCAATGCAGATTATATTGAGACAACAACAATTTAAAAAAAAAAAAACCAAAAAAACCCCCAAAAAATAGAACCTCCATTTACTGCTATACAATAAAAAAGTCTGGTATTATGCCACAGCATAAAGATAATTAGTTTGGTTGATGTAAGTTGTAACTAAAGGAACCCATCTGAATTTGAAAACCTTTATCAAAGGTTTTACCCTAACAGGTAGATAGAAGACATGCCCAACTATTCCTAACTCTTGACAAACATGAAGCCATTTTCCCAGTCTCTTGCCAGTTCATTTTATTATAACCCTTTTAAAGAGATGTCATAACATCCCTTTACTCTCAGATTTAAAGTTTGGGCTGGATATGTGTGTGGGGAGATGGTAATTCTGAGATACTGGAAGCTTTCCAACAGGATAAGAACATCGTTTTCCATACATCAGTTGTGGATGGATGTAACATCTTATCATCTCCATTGCAAGACATGACTCTGAGAGACACTTCCTGGGCCATGGTTCATACAGATTTATCTATTCTGTTCAGAAAGTCAGGAGAGGAAAAATTCAGATATTCCATCATTAAAAAGGGCTAGAGTAGTTAATGTGTGAAATAGTTTGTAGTTGGCATTTCAAATAAGAGATTGAAATGCTGGATAAAGGGAAGCACTTTGAAGATTGTGATCAAGTTTCATCTTTGAAGACAGCCAAAAGAAAGCAGACAAGCTTAATGGAAGAGGTTACTCAAGGTGACTTGTCATCACTGTTCCTGAATGTGAAAGTAGCAGGTTAATAAAAAGTTATTTTTCTTTGGATATAGAAACACAGCAACACGATCAGACAGAATTTCAACTTGTCTGGGATAATGGTGACTTCCCCTCCCACTCATGCTTTGTCGACAGGGTCTAGGGGTATCGTACATCAAGTGGAGAGAGGCTGCAGGTTCACTGCTTCATAAAGACCACCTACAAGTCAGTCTGGTTAGAGTACAATACAAGGATCTGACTACAGCAAAGACATTTCCTTTACAATCTATGTGTATGCATGTGTATAGAGCCCACTCCACAGACATTTAGCCCCAGCCCTGACATTGATCAAAGGAAGCTAGATGAAGGAGTTCTTGGAGGGAGATGTATATTTAATTTCCAAAGAAGAAGTCCAATAACACAGCCAAGAAACACTATGTAGAAGTCTTCCCAAGGAATTTTCCCAGTGTCAGATACCTAAAAAAAAAAGCTAAACCACAGAGTACTACCAAGATCTCCAGTATTTCCTATGAGCACCATATAGCTACTAGTATGAGATTTGGGAAATTCTTTGAGGCAAACAGTGCCAAGGGCAACTACAAACTGTCCCAGAGAAGAAAGCAAACATTGTGATATCAATGGTTCAGAAGAAAACCAGGTGATTCATTATGAAGTTTCCATATTGCAAGGGTGATGGAAAAATACCATGGCATGCCTGTACACAGAACAAAACGGCTCAGGAAACCTTTAACTTTGCCTAAGACACATTTGTAAATGCCACAGATACTTTTTTTCTCTGCATGGTTCATGTAACATGTACTGTGGACTCTTCTTATACATTGGAAATATCTTGGTTATAGATCTGATTTTTGGAAAGCATTAAAATGTTGTCATCTGTCTCAAAAACAGGGAGACACAAATTAAGTACCATTAGACTAGAGGGACAAAGAAAAGCAAGAAACTAAAGCTAGCCTTTCAGTAGTTTTCCCCCACTCAGGTAACCAAAGAAAGCAAGAGACAAATGGCTAAGTGAAAAAATGGTAATCATACTACAAAAGATGTGGAGATACCAAATAAATGTCAGTGTTATTCCAAGCTTTATTTCTTTCATGTGTTGTATTTTTCTAAGAACATATTTAAAAGATTCTATCTACAATCCAGACATTTCTTCTTCAACACAACCATAATTTCATGAAATTTCCACCAAAACAAACAGGAAAAAGCCCCAAACAAACCCAAACCATCAACATTTCTCCTTCCCACCCCAAAAGAAAATCCTCTATCTGCTCCTTTACTTTGTCTCTGAGGTATTTTTATCTGGGTATGGAGCAACAAGTAAACACAGATATTACTGCAGTTTCCACAGCTACTAATGTCTTCTTTTTCTGAGACCCCAAAGACTGGGATAATTACATTCTGCAAGAGGCAAAACAATTTATGAAAAAAAGGACACATATTCTTATTAAAAATTAAACAGGACTTTCACAATCAGCTGTTTCAAATATGTGAGAATAATGCCAGCTAGAAAGCAGTCTCTGCAGTTTGCTCATGAAGAGGGTGTGCAGCTGAAGTCAGGGCAAGAAAAAAATCACAATGATAAAAAAGCGGTTCCTTGGAGCTTTTATGAGGTCATTTGGCCTAGGCCAGATACCCTGTAACAAGAGGGAGAAAACAGAATTAAAAATTATCTTTTACAGCTAAAACAAAAATCAAAGTCAACTTCTCAGGGATTAAGTCCACTGGAAAATAAAGTATTGCTTTTCTTCCAACAGGTTTGAGCTTTTAATTATGTAAAGCCTTCATGAAGGGATTTCTATCTTTTTGTATATTTAATTCACAAAATGTCCTAATTATCTGCAGACATATTAATAACTCTTTGAACAATATATTAATGTAGTAAGCTGAAATGTGTTTTCAGAACAACAGTAAAACAAGGCTTAAAAAAAGTACACCCATCCATAATTCTTGTACAGTTCATATGTAAATATATTATTGGTATTGTAGATATTGTGAAAAACAACAAAGAATCCAATGCATTGCACTCCTTCAGCTCTCCACAGTTTACAAAACCTAATAGTACTATAGGCTGCAATGAAATGGCCATTTCTTCCCCTCTGGGGAACTTCCTTTATCTATCAATTGTCGTTTCTTTAGTGAATCTGAGTTAATTTTTAATAACAATTTTACTCCTCATAAAGCTGAAAAAATGACTCATGGTAGGCCAACAATACTATTTAGACACTGTCTTCAGAATACAGCACTGGTGCGAAAATACTAACATAGCTGTTGGAGCAGTAAATGAGGAAGAAAGTTGCAGAAGAATATCTAGATTTGTGGGAGAAGGGTTGGAAGCAAGGGGCTTTTTAAAGGCTAGTTTAAATTCCTTCTTATAAAATGCCAGCTCTAAAAAAGAAGAGTTATGTCAAAGCCATCTCCTAAGGCAGGAATAATCTGTGTGAGTACGTGAACTTGCTTCAAAAGTCTCCAAGCCTAGAAGCAGAGGCTCTGCAGAAGTCTTTAGAGCAGAACTGGGAATTAGAATAGGGAACTGCTTTCAGAAAAGACCACAGGTGCAGTAAGCATTATGAAAAAGACATTTGAAAACAGAGGGCCTGATTTCTCTGATTCAATAGCAGTGTTTTATTGACTCTCTCCACTAGTACAAATAGTCTCCCTTTTTTGCACATAAGAAATAGCAGGAAGAACACACAACAGTCATCCTCTTTCACTTAAGACTAGTGAAAGTTTACACAGTCACCTCCTGCACTTCCAGCTAAATTCCTCAGCTGTCCAGATTTATCCACACACAGTCCATGATGCAGAGAACGTGGCTGTATTGAGGTTTTAGCCTAAATATCAGGGCACTCCCAGAAGATGCCTTCCATGACAGCAGCAATTCTGACTTGAAATACACATTCTGTTTCAGATTAGGTATGTGCCATTGCATGGACCCAAACACAGAGTTGGAAAGTGCTTGTTTTAAGATCCCCTCTTACTTGTAAATTAAACTACATAGACTGTTGTAATGAAATGTCTAATATGAAGTTAAATGAACATTGGTATTGGTAGTAAAAAGAACAAACAAAATCATTATTCGTACCTTTCTCCTCCTTCATTCCAAGCAGTTTGACTCCTGGGAAAGAGGAAAAAAACCCCATTAGTACAATGTACAATGTACCATGTACAGTACAATCACACATTTATTCAGGGAATTATGGTTATCCTGTTGTGTGGCATGTTCTTGATTATTTGAAGCCCTTTCCAAGTCTTTTGAAACTCCACTTAAAATACTAAGTAAAAGCTTCTTCAAGATTCCAGTTCTAGCAAGAAATATACCTTCTATTTGAAATCAATATGAATAGCAGGATATATTGACTCAGGAGATAAACATATCTTGTTTTTGCTGGGGAAAAATATCAATCTAAAGGTGTTTCAAATATCTTCAGACACCTCAATCCTTTCTTGACCTCACACAATTTGAAAGAGTGAAAAGTTTCTTCTGTTCCTCCCCAGACTGTCACTATTCTCTTTTAGGATGAGATTTTTCAGAGGAGAAAATGATTGAGCTCAAAGTCAAGGCAGGCAGAACAAATCTGCATACGCCATTTGACTGCCTTGCCAGAGGTAAGTCATTAAACTGAGCTACAGCATGCCTAGACCTACTCATCTGAGGTCCCTATATCAATGCTGATACTTCTGCTAAGTAGTTTCTATATTTTCTGCCATCCTTCTGCCAGGAAAGACAACCATATTACTCTTCAATAGAAAGAACAAACAAATAAACAGGAAAGCAACCAGTCTTAGGAAAAAAACCAAAAATCTTTTAAACTCAGATTGTATATAGACTGACCAAGTTAAAGGTAAGTTAGCAAGCCACATTCTTCATTAAAACAAATCTAACCATTGTGGATTGATTCTGGAACCTTCTTAGAAAAATATTCTTTTCTCAATATTCCCATGTTAAGTAAAAACTTTTTCTTTGTGCTGGAAAACCAGCATTTTCAATGCAACTTGATCCTTCTGAACGTTCATTAAAGACTGACTGTTTACAGAAACCTGTGACATGTATACTGGCCTTGTGAAATCAGAGGCCTTTGAGCTATGACTCTTTTCGCTGTGCAACAGTAAACTTCATGACATGCTTTCTCTTCAGTTGGTAGGAAACAGCATAAATCAATTGCTGGTTGAGACTCCAAATGAACTTTCCCATGGGTCATGCTACAAGAACTAAACCATGTGCAAACCCACAAACTATGTTTATTTAAAATAGTTTTATTCATAAATCATGTTTCGTCAAAACATATTTATCCAGCATCTATTGAGTTTCTGTGCTGCACATGGGAAAGGAAGAGAATGGGGTTTCCTGTCCCACTGCACCTGTGTATTCAGGGCACAGTTGCTTCCACAGCAAATATCTAGATTTATGCATCCACTGAAAGAGCAGAGTCAGCATCCGACGGAGCATTTCTCATTCTTATGCATGACTCTGGGTGTAATGGAGACATGAAACAGGAAGGTGTAATATGTCATATTGCCTTCTAGATTCTGAGTTTACTATAGCTCAGAGAGATTTCAGCAAGACCACTAGTATTTCATTAAAGCAGAGTAGACCTATAAATTTCATATGTTCACCATGTGACCTCTTGCCATTAACAGAATAGACAAAATGGTACTTGACAGTGCTCCATTTCCACACAAAAAAATAAACTAGGGCTCTGTTAAGGCTTGCCATGCATTAGCACTTGGGCTCTGCAAATCCCTCCGTACTTGAATATGGTCAAATCTCATGAGGCAGTAAAAATAAAAATCTGCAATTGTTTTAAAGTTATTATTTTGTAATAACAGAAGTGGTTTACTATTTAAATAATACTGATAATTTGTGCCATTACAGTAAACATATGCTGTCCCTTTTATATGTCCCAACTGAGTAATGATTAAATTAGGAAGAAATTCTTTACTGTGAGGATGGGGAGGCATGGGAGCATGTTGCCCAGAGAAGCTGTGGATGCCCCATCCCTGGAATTGTTCAAGGTCAGGTTGGATGGGTCTTTGAGCAACCTGGTCTAGTGGAAGGTGTCCCTGCCTATGGCAGGGAGGTTGAAACTAGATGATCTTTAAGACCCCTTCCAATCTAAACAGTTCTACAATTCTATACTATGATCTTATTTATTAAACTTTGATGGTATTAAGCTTTGATTTATTAAACTTTGTCGAAAGGACAATGGTTATGTTTTTTACCCTTCCATCCTAAAAGGTTTATCCTTATGTCAGAGGCAATGGCAGCGCAAAGGACACCAAAACTTCCTTGATTGCATACAACAAGACTCAGTGCTCTCTCAAGGGTGCAGTAGCTCACAGATAGAAGTGGAACTTCATTAAGCTGTTTTCCCATTAAATAAGGAAGCCACATAACCACCCAGAGAGTGCCCAGGCACTTATAACCAAAAAGGCAGAAAAGATTGAAATAGCAGCTTATAAATATTCCTAATAAAACACAAAATGTCTGGAGGGCAGTTGAATTAATGAAAACTCATTTCTTATTGATTAGGGGACAATTGAGCAATGTAAATTCTCACCTCCCCCCTGCCCAGACACATGCAATATATTCACCTTCCTCGCCCGTTCTCCCTGCCTCCTGTGATATTGACATCTCTTTTTGCATTCCCTAACCCCAGGAAATCAAGGAAGTGCTGCAGCTGCTGTAGAGTTGTGCCCACTCTGATCGGCCAGAGGGCTGCAGACAAAAAACACATGGAGTGCCCAGGTCCTTCCCACCATCCTACAGAGCAGGGCACTGTTTTGGGGTCTCTCCTATGCCAGTCACTGTTTTCACAAGACAGAGAAATTTAATTGTTTTTGAGGCTTACAAACCCTTTCAAATTTGGCTAAGATTGGCCAGTAGCTTGAAAACCTTATTACATGTAGACAGACAGCGTGATCATACAAACTTGATTTCCTTAGGAAACCAGGTTAATAGAAGTAACAGTGGAAAACATAGCAGGTACATCGACAACAGAGTGCAATGTTCAGTTTCTCCTAAGTGTGAAGCTGTTGTGACTGTAAAGAGTTCAAACATGACAAAAAAAGAGGGAAAGAACAAATATTTCCTCTTCGGTGCCACTGCACAGATGGATCAGCTTCAAAAATTACCTGCAGGTCTTCACTTTGGGAAGCTTTTAAATCTTAGGATATAGTCTGACCTGCTACAGTTAGCTCCCTTGTCATGTAAAAAGCCAGTCTGCAGACTACATAACTTGTATGCCCCACCTGGAATTCAGATCTTTTTGTTTAAAATCCCAAGGGAAAGGAGAGGAATCTTAGTATAGTAAAAGATACTGAGGTTGCTGCCTCCAGCCTATCTTTTGAGAGATATTTTTCATTCTTGTTCTTGTTATCAATACTCATTTTTAATACCTTTGCATTATGACATATTCTTTCATACTTTAATCTTTCCCTGCTCTGTTTAGTCTTCAACTATCACACCATAACATAAAGGAAAAATGGATCTAGCATTACCCAACAGAAGGCAGGCTCCTTGGGACCCATTAAGTAAATAAGAGAGTAGGAAATTTATCACTTCTACACACGGGGTTTTATTGCATTTGTATTGATGTATTCTTTGAACATATATATTTTTCAAAAAAACCCACCACATGGATTGGCTGAATATATCACAACATCATCTGTTGTTAGGACTGTGCCTAGGCTGAGCACCTGCCACCTGCCCTGTCGAACAGGACATATGCAACTGGCCAAAGGCAAAACTCTGCTAGCTCTGCAGATAATGACAAGGTTTTCAGTAGTGACAGCAGGTGATCTGATGGAGATGCTTGAGTTCAGATATTGGGGATCTTGTCTACATCACACATTATCTTTTAAATTTATCAGAAAACAATATATGAACAAAGTGCCCTCATTGTACCTGTTAACACCATGCAGCAGACGTCACCTTTTGCCCTTGACTAGGTATCAGTTGCCTCTGTCCTACCCAAAGTCTCTAGTTCTGCTATCTGCAGACATGCTGTCCTTCAGGAGATGGCTCAGGCCTGCCATACACAGTGGTCTCTTACTAACACTCCTTTACTAGCCTGGACATCTGTAGTTTGGCTTCCAGCAACTCATGGACTGCCTGGCATGTGATACAGATCTTATCAGTAAAGCTTCTTACCAACTGGTTCTTCAAGTATCTGCTCACAGACCTTATGGGAGATTGAGCTGGCAGGCCCTGTCTCCTCTCAGTCAAGACCAAGAGAACCATTACAAGGTTTCTAAGCCTTCTACCCTGGACCAGGGCTTGCCCAAAGCTTGTAGTGATGAAGGCATTCTTTTTTCCACTTCCAGTACATGGAAAACTCCAGCAGCAAGAACACCTGCTTCTTAATCATGCCTTGACTTCGAGGATGCTTGTACCCAAGTCTTGCTGGCATTCATCGGCCAACATACACATCCTCACCAGACAGTCCAACTAATCCAATTCAAGCTTTTACAGTTAGACTCTCATCATTTTGCCACTCAGACTTCCTAACTCTTCCATTTCTGCACTTCATCAATGGAATTTCTACCTAATGGAAATTTCTATGATGGGAATACACATAATTATTTTTTTTCGTACTGAAGAGTGCAATTCTAAAAACAGTCACATTAATGCTTCATTAGGACAGTTTAAAAAAATGAATGGGTATTTAACAGACTACAGTCAAGATAGCATTGCTTCAAAGAATCTTACAAATATTGATTTTAGATCAGGTGTAGTTGGGCTTTCTTTGTCATAATTTTATATGGGTAAAAAATGAACAGCAATATATGGGAACAGCTATATATATGGGATTTTCCACCTCCAGTTTAAATATCAGGGTAAAATATTTACAGCATATCCAAACATCTCTCATCTAAAGACTTTCAAAACATCCCTAACAATTTCACTACCCTTGTTCTGAACTTAAAGAAGTACCTTGCAGGGAGTACCTTGTATGCAAAGCCACTGAGTTCTGCTACAAGAGCAGCTGTTTCTTCCTCCTCCCATTTGAACAGCTATTATTTAAGACAAGATTTCTTCTTATAGGCTATTGAGGACAGACAGCCAGGACTGTAAGTTCTGTCAGGCAGGCTAAACACACAGATACATGATAGTGCCTGTAGAAAAAGCCAACATTTAAATCTCATTGCTTCCACATTCTGTACCCAAAAACTTACCCAGGTGCCATTAATGGGGTAGTCCAGTATATCCAGGTTGGTAGATGTTATTAGGTTGTGTTTTGTTCTGGAGTCGGTCCAGGAAAGCATTATTTACCCTTAAAATACAATAAAAATGAATAATGACTGAAGGAAGCTGAGAAGTTTACAAACTGTTGAAATTTAACATTCTGTGAGTGGCTTCCCCTATTCTCCATTCAATGCCCACCTTCCTATATTTTTCAAGCTTGTGCTGCTTAACCATGGGCAGGCATGAGACTGAGTGGGTTTCATTTTCAATTCACTAGGTGCATCCTTATCTTGTGATCAGTCTGTTGTGGTTAAAAGGCACACCTCAACTGCTCTGAGAAATGCACCAAAATTCTCCATAGAAAGATGATCTGCATACTACCACCCACCTTATCAGGGAGGTTACCTATTTTGACAATTCACCTTAGGTAATCTTTCACTTTTCAGTACATAGGAAGAGTTTCTAGAAGTACTGATTTCCTAATGCAAATGAAAAAAACTCAAGTTTGTTACTAAGAGAAAATTTATGCAGTTGACAACTTTCCTTACCATCCAGCTCTGAAATAAAATCTAGCATTTTCTTGCACTGCTCTATCAATCTGGAAAGCATGGACAAATACAAACACATTTTCTCTGGGTCTTTTTAAAATCTTTTCAAATTGGGATTGTTCAGTCTAGAGAAGACAAGGCTCCAGGGTGACCTTACAGTAACCTTTTCAATACCTAAAGGGGGTACAAGAGAGCTGGAGAGGGACTTTTTTAGGAGGGCATGTTGCAATAAGGGAAGGGGTAATGACTTTATACTGAAAGAAGGTAGATTTATATTGGATATTAGGAAGAAATTCTTCGCTATGAGGGTTCTGAGGCACTGGCACAGATTGCCCAGAGAACCTGTGGATGCCTCATCCCTGGAAGTGTTCAAGGTCATATTGGATGCGGCTCTGAGCAACATGGCCTAATGGAAGATGCTCCTGCCCATGGCAGTGGGAGTGGAACTAGATGACCTTCAAGGTCAGTTCCTACCCAAAACATTCTATGATTCCTTTGAAAACTGTTTTTTTCCCCTCCCTATTACTGCTTAGTACTGACACACATGCTTAGACATAATGGTTGTTTTAGTGTTTTACAGCACTGTTGGTAAGAATGATATAAAATGCAAGATACTAGGTTATTTCTATCTAGGGACATGAGATGGACTGAATCGAAAATCCTTCATTAACTTCTATGGTAATTATCTCAATATCTTTGCTAGAGAAAAAAAGAAATGAAAGTAGTATGGACAGTGGTTGCCTATGGAAGTTTTTTTCTTTTATATTTCCCTAATGATATAAAAAAAGGAAACAAATGGTGGTTTTGTTTTTGAGCCTGAGCATTGTTTCTTTCTACCAGCAGAAAACAAAGATGAGAGTAGAGCTGTGCTTCAGGATAATGGAAAGTCAGTTAAGTGACAGAAGTGGATGATGAGAACTGCTGAGCACAGAGAGGGCACAGCAGTGGGGCACAGCCTGTGGCACAAAGAAATGCAGCTTCAGAAGGTCTTGTTGCACTGCACTTTCTATCTGTATTGAAATTAAATCCTAAGTTTAGCTCTGTCTGTTAGCCTGAGTGACAGTCAACCACAAAGTAGCCCACTCTAAAATAAAGTAAAATTAGATAGGTAGATAGATAGATAGATAGATAGATATACAGACAAATTGCTTCCCAGCTTAAACTACTGTACTAGTAGTTATCCATTAACTACTTGGACATGATGATTTTGGGGTTCTTTTGCAACCCAGTTGATTCTACGGTTGATTCTCTGACACTAATAGTTTCTACCCCATGCTGTACCCTACACTGATAGGATAAATAAAGTGACAAAGGCACTCTGGGTCATACTGCATTACAGAGCATGCATATCCAGAGATGGGTATTAGTGGCTCATTTGAAAGCAAAGCTAAACCAGAGATGAGGTCAGAGATCCTCATTGTGATTGTCTTCTAAAACATGAGTGCCTGCAATTTGAGACTCTTTCCAAGTACGAATTCAATGAGAGTGTATTCTGCATTTTTTGTATCATACCTCCTCTGTTCATGTTGGTGTGCTCTTGTCCTGGCTTCCTCTTCCTGCTTTTGTTTAAATTCCATTAATTCAGCCTGGGAATGATAAAAGTGAAAACCAAGCAACTAACCAAACTTGCTTTTAATTAACATACTTATGCTGCAAACCCTATGAATTCCACATGATGTTAAACTCAGTTAGACCCAAGTCATTCCCAGTACTTATCTCGGCAGCATTTTATTTATGTGACAGCATGTGCTGGTTTGGGCTGAAGTACTGTTAACTTTCTTCACAGAGGCTAGTATGGGGCTATGTTTAGGATTTGTGCAGAACACAGAGTTGATAATGTAGAGATGATTTTGTTCTTGCTAAGCAGAGCTTACACAGAGCCAAGGCCTTTGCTGCTTTCCGTACTGCCACGCTGGCAAGGAAGTTGGGGGTGCATGGGAGACTGGGAGGAGACACAGTTGAGAGAGGTGACCCAAACTGACCAAAGGGTTCTTCCATACCATATGACATTATGGTCAGAATATAACGTGGGAAGAAGAAGGAGGAAGGGGGGACATCTGGAGTGATGGCGTTTGTCTTCGCAAGGAACCGCTACATGTGATAGGGCCCTGCTCTCCTGGAGACGGCTGAGCACCTCCTGCCCATGGGAAGCAGTGAATTAATTCCTTGTTTTGCTTTGCTTGTGTGTGCAGCTTTTGCCTTCTCTATTAAACTGTCTTTACCTCAACCCATGAGTTTTTGCTCCGAGCCTCTCCCCCATCCCATTGGTGGGGGAGTGTGTGAGCAGCTGCGTAGTTCTTGGCTGCTGGCTGGGGTTAAACCATGACACAGCACTATGTTAAAAACTGAGTTAATTTTTCTATTCAACATAGGAATTATTTTTGTTTGTGTCTTAAAAAGAGGGAAACACTTTTCAGGCAGTGGGAAGCAGGATTCAGACATGTACAGTCCTACATTTAAGGGGGTATGCCAGACACCAGTCTGTTTCCCTTTGCCTCAACCCATGGGTTTGAATTCCCCTGTGGGTCCAAGGGGGAAGACAGTCAAAGTCATCTAGCAGGAGCTACACAGCTTTTACGCCCGTAGGGTGTCTCCAGCCTCTACAGAGCTCTACAGAGCTCTCTCTACAGAGAGCTGGTGTATGTGGAGTGGTGTGTGGCCTCCAGCTCCCTGGGGCTCCCACCAGGGTGAGGAATGCAACTGGTACATGTTGGTGTGGTGGAAGCATAGGCAAGTTCCCGATATTGCAGCAGACTACCATCCTTATGTAATATTAAGGTATATAAACAGTGTCACAGGGAATTGTTTTCAGAAAAGAGTTTGTTTATGCAATTTTGGCCAGGACTGTGAAGGAAACACAGTTCATTTGACTCTGGTCTGCATATGCACTTGTTTGACTATGCTCCTTGCAATGTACCCAAGAACTGAAGTTGCAGGTTTTTCTGCAAAGAAAATTTGGCTTGCAGGGCAAGAGGGAAGCGATAGAAACAGATCTATCTTTCATATTTTCCAAAGCAACTGTGCAGCACTAGAAATAGAAACTAAAATAAAGTGATGTGGTTAGATAAAAGCTTCAATAACTTAAATGGAACCACAAGACTGTTCTTTTTTTTAAAAAAAATCAATTTAAGTGGAACATTAAATAAAAACTATGCAATAAATGTATGAAGAAAATCAATAACTGAGAATGTGTTGTGTATCAATATTTGTCTAGCCTTAAAAGAAGAAACAGGATTAAGAAATAAAAAAGCCAACCTTAATTTTAGCTGTTTTAAATAACTATTCAACCTGAAAATTAAAACTCAGTATCTGACTTTCCAATATGCCGACTCCTCTTTTGGAGTAATGTTCTGAAATATATTGTGTGTCTATGATGTGGTGTTCAAAGTGTACTGAAAATTTCTAAATCAAGCAATACATACTAAAACCTGTTCTGAAGAAAAAAAGGGAACTGACAATACCTACACATTTTATGGCTACACTGTGCCAGGAGGTACACACAAGACAGAATTCACAATTACTTTAATAAATATTAGTTTGAAGTAGAAACGAGCCAACATATATCTCAGGGACAATTATTGGAGCCTTTAAAATGCATATTATTTACAGTAGGTTTGTAAGTAGTGCATTACTCTGCACAATAGGTAGCTGCAACTGTGAAAGCTAGGGGACCTTGGAACCATGTAGCAAACAAGAGAAGCCTTAGAAGCAGCCAAAACCTCCATAGCAATCTGTGGAAATCAGTATTGTTTACAGCTCTGCACAGGTCCCTTAAACCAAACTCATAAATTAAGGGCATGCTAATTTACATCTGTAGTTATTTCCTCTTTGGAAGAATCAATGTACAGTATACAACAGCTACCAGTCTTACACACATAAGGACTGGCCTTCAAAATTTTTTCCTCTGTATAGCTCCTGGGAATAAGCATACACCTGATGGGATAGCAAATAAGAGCCCCTCTTTTACCCCACCTTTTGTTTCCAGCATCATGGCTGTTAAAATACTATGAAATGAGGATACTTATCCCCAACATGTAAAGAAAGATATCTGTGAGAAGGGATGAGTCACTTCTTCACCTCGAGTAGAAACTCACTGCATGGAATTTGTAGTGCTAAGATTCTGCTACTGGGGAAGTAGTTTGACATTAATTTGGATGTTAGTAAGAGCAGAGGCACAACAAGAGGCTCAGTATTGCTCACATGTTTTCAAATTATTTGATAAGATGATTTTCAAATGCTGTCCTCCCTGTACTTTCACAGTCAGACCTGAGGCCAACCCAGATAACTTAGCACAGTGCCATCGCCTTGGGTAGATGAACCTTTTATGTGGATATAGTACCCAACTCTATATCAGAGAGACTACAGTGTTCAGACACATTTCAGGCAATGCATGATGCATAGGCAGATGGAGTTCAAAGTTGCAGTTACAGCATGCCTGCTTTTTAGACAGTTCAAAACTCTTCACTTAGGTGGTTAGTAAGTGATCGAGACTCATACTAGAAGTAACAGCAAATCTGAATGCTTCCACATCCTCATTTGAGAAAGCAGGGCACACGGGTCTCAGTTCTCTAGAAAGAGACTATTCAGACCGAGATCATCATGAATATCTAAGTAAGACTTCTGCCTGAAAGAGAGTAAACTGGTTTCCTTAGCCTACGAAATCAGGTGTCATGGTCAAAAAGCACCCTGCACATTTGTTCAAATGGAGATGCAAACAGGAGCTTGTTATCCAGAAGCAAACATCTTTGAACCAGAATATAATTGTCCTGTCTCTGTCCAAATTTTACAGCTTGACTCATCTCTCTCACAATATTTGAACACAGTGACTGAATCACTTCTTCCAAAGAGAAGCTCTGTGCGTAGGCTACAAGTAATCAATGTATTTAATTGGTTTCACAGCATGCAAAAATGATACAATATGCAAACTGTTAATGTATAATTACCTTCTTCCGTTGCTCTTGCTTCATTTCCTCTAATCTTTTGGTTTCGTCCTCTCGAAAAGCTTGCTTATAAGCACGGCTTCTTGTCTATTGTTCAGCAGAAAATAAAAATATATTGATGGGGGGAGAGGAGGGCCAAACTCCAAAATCTTATTCACAAATCATTATATAGGTCATTGACAAACACAAATAGTTGAATGATTCCAGTTACTTATACATATTAGTCTCAAGACTAGAATTTAAACAAGATATGGCCTAAAACCTCTCAGTCGTTTGGTTTAGCTGAATGTCCACCTGCACATCACAACCAAGTGGTCACAACACATGCTATTCCATGACCCAGTGACAAGCATCAAGATACCCTGAGCAGTCAGAAAACAAAACTCAGATATATGATAGTGAGATGGAGTATTCTGGGAAGATAAAAAAGCAGAATGGAGTCCTGGTAACAGAGGGGAACACAGGATTATTTGTGGAAAGGTATTTGTGGAGGTAGGTCAACAGAAGCTGAGAGATCAACTCTGCTATATTTATTTGTGGGTCAGCCAAGAGAACTGAAAATCTGAACTACACATCATGAATAATGTATTCAGCTGTGCAGTAGGCTTGTCTTCCAATAACCAGCCCTGGTCTTTCACAAGCTGTAGTTTTTAGCAGAAAGCCAGCCTACCATTTGGATCTTATAGGATCCTTTGGATATTATATACTGTAAAGGCTTCGAGCATGGACATAGTGTAGCAGACTAAATAATGAGCTGGTATAATTTAATACAAGAATTGTGCAGGCTTGACTTCAGTGAGGAATTTGTTGCAGGTCTACATGATGTTCTCAAAACTTGATATATGTGTGCAGAATGGCACCATTAAAACAACAGGCACATAATTTTCTAAAAAGACTGAATAGAGAAAGCAATCATTAATAGCTCAATTTTGAGCTGGGAGAAGTTGTTACACGTGTCCAGGGAGACTCATTCTGGATCCGATATTATTCATTACTCTCCGTAATGGCTTGGAGAATTGTGTGGAGAGTATGTTAATCAAGTTGGAAGACAATAAAAATCTACGCAGGATTGGTCACACTTTGAAAGACAGGATTAAAATTAATTATGAGCTTGATTAAATAAGCAGGCAAAAAAGTCATCAATGACAGAGTCACTCCAAAGAAGTCAAATTTGTTCATGGACATCAAGTAATTTGGCACTAATAGTTGAACTAGGTGTGTTAAATTAGTATCACTATCAAATAAATTATGTGAGGAAAAACTTTGATCAACATTACATTGTCCCAAACTGGTTTTAGAACATGAATTTTAAATTTAAAAAATCAGATTATGTATATATATGCCCCCTTTTAGCATGCATGTCAGGCACATGTTAAACTTATTACACTCCACTATTTCAAACACATTGTTCCTGAATCTCTTAATTACCCCAGACAAAGGACACATTCAAGATAACAACCAAATTAGAGTCCTAGTTCTCCCCCTGGTTTAGCATTTTGGTACTATGCCAGGTTTATTTAGATAACAACTCATTGGTTATGTGTTTCAGATTCCTCACACAGAACACTGAGGCTCTGTGTGTGTCTATAGACCATACCTCATCCAAGTTGGTTGGGTAGACTTTGCTAACTGCATTGCTGCAGTATAAGCAAGTGATGAATTGATTCACAAAGCTGTAGAAATGCTGCCACGCAAAAGACAGGTATAATATAAGCTAGTATTAAAGAACAGTACAGATAAATGATGTATTTTATCTGTTTGGACAGTAGTGAAGCCAAAGATGAACTATGGTATGTAATTTGGCATAACTTATTAAGAAACCCATCAAAAACTGGAATGACAAAGTATGCTGGTTTGGACTCGGGTAGAGTTAACTTTCTTCACAGTGGCTAGTGTGGGGTTATGTTTTGGATTTGTGCTGAACACAGGGTTGATAATATGGAGATGCTTTTGTTCTTGCTGAGTAGGGCTTATACAGAGCCAAGGCCTTTTCTGCTTTCCATAATGCCATGCTAGCAACGAAGCTGGAGGTGCATGGGAGGTTAAGACTCTTTTTAGTGGGAGGACCCAGTTTGGTGACCCAAACTGACCAAAGGGATGTTCCATACCATATCACATCATGGTAAGTATATAAACTGGGGGGAAGAAGGAGGAAAAGGGAAATGTTTGGAGTGATGGTGTTTGTCTTCTCAAGTACCCGTTACGTGTGATGGCGCCCTGCACTCCTGGAGATGGCTGAATACCTCCTGCCCACGGGAAGCAGTGAACTAATTCCTTGTTTTGCTTTGCTTGCGTGTGCGGCTTTTGCCTTCTCTGTTAAACTGTCTTTATCTCAACCCATGCATTTTCTAGCTTTTACCCTTCTGATTCTGTCCCCATCCCACTGGTGAGGGAGTGAGCAAGCAGCTGCATGGTACTTGGCTGCTGGCTGGGGTTAAACCACAACAGAAAGCCACATATAGGTAGGTGAAGTAGAAGGCCAAGGCTGAAAATAGGACCTGTACACCTGAAAGAATTCAGTGTTCCTTCAGACATCTACCAACTTCGTTATAGATATGAAAACACCACACTGAAATGCTGAAATCCAAGTCAGCCCTGGGGACATGAGCTCAGTTCGCAGTTCAATGTTCAGACCATACAAAGGCTGCAGAGCTGAGTCTTCCCTACCAAAGAACCAGCTCCCCACTGTTTGGAGTGTTGGATGCTTCAAGAGGAAGGCAGAAGTTGTTTCAAGATATCTTTTTTCTCCTTTCATATTCCTTCATCTTTCTTGTCCATCCAGGACTACAAAAGATAGCCTGAAAGCCACTCTCCTGCAACTGATCTTCTGTTCAGCAATTCTGGGCAGAAGTTGGCTCCTTCAAGCTATATATCTGCCCATATATGCCAAGATTTCTATAGGGTTTTCAGACACAAAACAACCTGCAGAATCAAAGGGGAAAGGAACCTATTTTCAGTATCACCTTCCCTTTTCATGCAATGAAAACCAGGAAGAGGTACTAGAGGCAAGACAGAGCTATCATATATTCTGTTGACAGCAATTTCCATAATGGGAGGATTTTTGCACATATCTAAAGCTTCTGAGGAAACATGGAGGCAAATCTTCCCTTCCTGTTACTCAACTTTTGGTGTTCAAGGCTGTGTACAATAGAGGGCTG